ACAGTGAGTTGTCCACACAGTGAAATTCTGTAGTTGTAAATATGTGGATCCACTCTCCAGGCAGTAATTATGTCAGAGATGATGGGTGGGAGGTAGGGGCACGGACTGGCAGGGGCTCAGCCCAGGAGGATTGAGGTAAGAATGGGAATAGGGACTGGAGCTGGTGAAAGGGCCAGAGAAGGGGCAAATGCAGGAGAAGAATCAGGAAATGACATTCCTGATTATCTATGGAGGAGAGGTTTTAAAGGAAGGCAGTCAAGGAGGTTCTATCCTATACAACACTGTTTGAGGTTTAGTCTTGGGGAGTGTCCATGCTGAAATCACAAACAGACAAATGAAAAACTCCCTGTCTCCTTCATTAAGGACGGTAGGCCTGGTTTTGTCCGACAAATTGAAGGATGAGGCAGAAAGAACAGGTCGTATGAGATGGGTTTAAGGTAAATGCATTAAGGCATGCCTCAGGGGCTGAGCTCAGGAAAGGTTATTAATAGGACCTTTCTATTTGCAAACGAGTACAAACATACCAGGCCACTGAAAGCAAAGCAATTAGGCTTTTGTTCCATGATCTGCCCGTGCTTTCTTCTAATATTGCTAGTCCAAACCCTCTAACAACTGAACATTTGTCATCAGCTTCCCTGAGAATAAAATATATCTTTTATTTTGCTTCCTGGGGTTTCATAAATATCTTACTGTGTTCTAAATGGATATTAAAAAACCCAACGATGGTTAGAATGACTGGTGATTGATGGCTACCCAATCGATCCCAGCCCAATATGGTGACACTAAGTGGCAATCCTTGTAGTCTGGTTCCGCTGATCGCAGTTACCACCGAGAAAACAACAATTTATGGACAGTTGACCAGATGAACCTCCTGATGTTTTTTTCCTGCTGAAGTTATTAAAGGTCACCTTTATGTGTTTTGGCCTTGCTTAAATAAGATGGGAATCTCACGTGATTTCAGATATGCTGCCCTTTAAAAATCAGTTAAGGATCCTATAAAGAGTTTTTAACCTGGGGTTTAAGATTACAGGGAGAGGGTGAGGGGGTGGGGGGAATGAACTTAGAGGGGAAAAAAATTGCATCTTCATTTCAATATATAAGTGGTTTCCTTTGCAATCTTGTATATATTTTTATGTCTTTAAAAACATTATACTCAGATGGGGTTCACAGGCTTTACCAGACTGCTGACTGAATCCATGACATACAGAAAAAGAGTAAGAATTCCTGCTAAAAAAGGATGAAGGAAGAAACTGGAATAAAAATCACAGTGTATTTGTTTAATTAGAATAAAGATGAGAGAAGCAAGTGAAGTTGTTTTCTCAAATTCTACAATGAAAAACCAAGGAACAAAAATTCTCTGGAACAACTCTGCTGTTCAAAGTGTTTAACCTACTTTCTTAACATACACAGCTAATCAAACTGATTAGCTGACCTTTATTCAAATCAATCTTTTTAAACTTTAATAGTTAATCTATACAACCCAGACTATTGAATCCTCTCCTTGAAGCACACAGAAAATAGAAAATCTGTTTTAAAAAACCATTAACGTAACACATGTGGAATATGAATTCATTGTTATGAAATGAAGAAAAGCAAACTATTACTCATTAGAATAAAATCGTTAAATAAATCAATAACATTTAAAAAAATAAAATAGTTAACCTCAATAATTCAAAGAAGAGTGTAATAGATCATTTGGTTTTAAAAAACCAAAAAAAAAGTAATATAAAATTACAAAGAAAACATATATGGTATAGTAGTTCACTACAAAGACTAAACTTGCTTCCATGGCATAATATTATAATGTGGGAAATGTCTTTAGTTGTTGAAAGATCTGAAGAATACTTCGGGGCTCTTAAAAATGACTTTTTCCATTCTTCATTATGTCAGACTCCCATACCCAATGATGAATATACTGAATGGACTTGTGATATCATGGGTGTAGGGCATTTTCAGATGAGGAGACTCCATAAATATATAGATATAAATGGAGGTACCGTTTTCTGCAATTCAGTCTTAGAGAATTGCCCAGAGAACTTTAATTTGGGTTTTTCCTTTAGCGAATACAAACAGATCTGCCTGGTAATTTCCAAAAGTCATGTAATAGCATTAGGTCTGTACTACTTGGATCAGACTATTATACTGCTTGGATGTATGCTACTTGGATCTATACTTGGATGAATACTGCTTGGATTATACTACTTGGATGGGTTTGAATTTTAGAGTGAAAATGGTTTTAGGGCTAACCCTCAATTACCTGTGTTAATGATGAGGACCATTATAGCTTGTTAACATAGCAACTAATCAGATCCAACTGCTCAGTCAGAGCCTCTCTCCTTCCAAAGTAAGCTTGGCTTTCTCTCCCCAACTCTGCCACTTAGCTCTGGTTTGTTTCCTAAACGAATTCCTGAGCCATACTACAGCAGCAGCAGCCCAGGGTGAGATTCATAAGAGGAAGGATTCCAACTTAGGGCTGGGAGAGAGAAGTAGAAAGTAGAAACAGTCCCAGTGCTAACTAGGCAGCTTAAATCTCTCTCACCAGGAGCAAGAGGAAATAGCTCTCAGATACAGGCAGGTTAATAACAGTGCAGGAAACCCAAACACAGACAATCAAAAGCTTACTGTTTCTTTACTTTCAACAATTCACAGAGTTCTGTGCTTACAAAACTCTCTTGGGTGAAAGAAACGTCCAGTTGAGGTCACAATGGAAATGGGATAGAATGGGGTTGGAGTATAAACTGCTGCTCCCTGGTGACACAAAACAAAATATGACGAGTGTTTATGGACATTTGATAACCAGCTTGGTGCTATATAACACTAGGTTTTGGAAATTGAGGTTTTCATAGAAGCACCCGCCGTCTGAGGTTTGAGGCTTTAGGTGCCATGCTCCCAGATTGAAACGTTAACAAGAGTTAAGGCACAATACAGTGGCTTCGGGAAATGTTATAGGTCATCTTCTGGAAAGATTTTAGCGACCTAAGTAAGCCTTGGTTTATAAGGCACCTAGACACCCTGGAACCATTCAGTCATGCTGACCAGCCCTTTATCTTTCCAAGGTAGATAGAGCCTCTTGGTTGGAGACCTTGCACAAATGAGTGTTAAAGTAAGGCACTTTCTTTAAGGAGGAGCTGGCATAGGATCCTTGATCACATTGTCTGTAAGACAAAAGAATAAGAGAAAAGAAAGCAAAAAGCCTCTTGTTTGCTCTTTGGGAGAAAAGGTGTCAAATGCATACTCAGATCTTTCTCCCCAGCTGAGTCATTCACTATTGAGGCTGGCAAATACCAAGCGTGTTGCAAGCTCTCATGAACATGGTCAGAGGGCAAAGTCATCCTGGGGAGTCCATTCCATGGTCTAACTCTTTTGGCAATGGGGTAAAGATAATGTTCCTTCTAACATTTTTTTAATGTGTAATATTAACTTTGAATAACAATACGGAGCAACAGTAACAACAAAACATAGTCTTTTCCCAAAATCCTACTACTACTGGTCCACAGTATCCATCTTTGAATAAAAATGTCTGTCATGTGTAAGCCCTGCATAATGTGCTACATTGAGATTGCCTCTGGGGGGAGAAGTGTTAGGATTAATTATGCAAGGCAATAACTGTGTGCAACCCCACAACTTTGTGCATGTTTAAAAAAAAAAGGACCATTTTACAAACCTGAAACTGTTTCTATATAAATGCTGGCTCTTCCTACTATTTCCTACTGGTGCTGTTTGATATCAAAAGCTTATGGATTATCTAGAATCATAGACTCTTAGCATTAGAAAGGATCCTATAGGTGGACTAGTCCCTCTGTCAGCTAAATGTAGGAGGGCCTTTATAAACTATCCTTGAAAGGTCATTATCCAGCCTCTATTTGAATACCACCTCTGATGGGGAACTCACCCAGTCCATTTTTCAGACAGCTCTTAATTGTGAGGAGATTTTTCTGTATTGAGCTGAAATCCCTGCTCTCTGTAACTTTTATGCACTGGTTCTGAGTCTTCACTTTGGTATAATAAATGATATGTTTAATCCAACTTTTTTTTTTCGGTGGACGCTCTTCAAATGTTTTTATACAGCTATTGTGCTGATTTGTCTCTCCCCCTCCCTCTCCCCAGCCTCCTTTTTCTCCTCCCAGGAAAATCATCTCTATTGCTTCCATTTGCTCCTCATATGACGTTTGCTACTCCCCTCACCAACCTGGTTATATTAATCTGATTTTTTTTTTACTTGTCAATGTTCTCTTCAAATATGGCACCCAGAAATGAACACAACATTTTAGATACTGTCTGACCAGTGCAGAGTACAGTGGGATGATCACCAACCTTACTCTGGTTGCTATACTTCCTACATGGATACAATCCTCCTCAGTGTGTGTGTATATGTGCATATGTGTGTGTGTGTGTGCATATATAAATTTACACACATAAATATAAATTAATATAAATTACATGTATTTATATCACACTTCAGAGTCACATAGAGCTCTGATGAAAACAGTAAGAGGGGAAATGGTGTATTTCTGTGAAATAGTCTAAATCATCACTTCACACCCAGCATTATATTTATATCAGTTCATCATTTGAGTATTATATCTATGATAGTTCATATAACATTGACAACAAAATCATGTTCGCAGTCATAGAGAAATCCAGAGGCATGTTAAATTTGGTGAAATCCATCTTCCCAAGGTCAGCTCTTGATAGTACAGTATTATGTTAAGTAATATAAACTTGTCTCCTAAGTTGAATTCTCCTCTTCCTATACGTTGAAAGGTAACTCACTTTAACGTGATTATTAATACTAAGATCCATCATTTATATAATGCTTCAAGGTTTGCAAAGCACTTTTCAAATATTATTTCATTTGATCTTCACAACAACCCTGAAAGACAGGTACCATTGGTACCCTCACTTTTCAGATGAGAAAATTCAGGCTGAGAAGGGTTAAGTGACTTGCCCACAGTCATAAAACAATCCAAATCAATGACCAAATATCTATTCCATGGTACCTAGCTGCTTTTCTCGTTCCTCTCTCCGTTCTCGTGCCAACCGTTGTCGGTCATCAACTCTTAGCACAGGTGGAGGGTCTGAAAAATAGTATAAATAAAAATAAAATTAAGGTGGGAGAAAAAGATTTCAGTGGATAATTTAGTTATGTTTTTAAAACATTATCACTGTCATAGTAAATTGTAGTATTAGTGTACTTTGAACACAACTAACACTTGCTTTGCAAATTTTAAAGCCTTTTTTTTTTTTTTACAGGTTAATGGTGTTGTTGTTCAGGCATTTCAGTTGTGTCCAACCCTTCATGACCATGTTTATGGTTTTCTTAGCAAAAATATTAGAGTGGTTTGCCATTTCTTCTCCAGCTCATTTTACAGATGAGGAAAGTAAGGCATACAGTGTTAAGTGGCTTGCCCAGGATCACTCAATAAGTGTTTGAGGCCAGATTAGAATTCAGGTTTTCCTATCTCCAGCTCCAGGGCTCTTATGCACTGTGTCACCTAGATGCCTAGGTTAACAGTAAGAAACTAACAGTAATAGCTAATAATAGTTAACATTTATATAGCACCTACTATGTGCCAGGCACTTTGCTAAGCCCTTTGTTCTCATTTGAGCTTCACAGCAACCCTCAGAGGTTGAGGTCTGAGGTAAACCTTGCCTTTCTACAACACATCAGTGCAATGATCAGGGCAGGACTGTCAGTGTGGTAATTCTTTCAATTCAATAAATATTTAGCACCTACTATGTACCAAACACTGTGCTAAGTGCTGGGGATACAAAAAGAGGCAAAAGACAGTCACTGCCCTCAAGGAGCTTACACGCTAATGGGGAGACAAGAAGTGAACAAATATATACAAAGTAAGCTATACATAGGATAAATAGGATTGAGGATTGAAAAAAGGCCCTTGAATTTGGCAGCTAAAAGATCATTAGTAAATTTGGAGAGAGCAGTTCCAGTGAAAGACCTTCAGAGTGAGGAGAGAAAGTAGATTGCCTTTGCAAGGAGTTTAGTTACAAAGGGCAGAAGAGATATAGGATGACAGTTAGCAAGGATGGAAGCAGGTGAAGGATTTTTTCAGGATAGGGGAAACATGGGCATGTTTGTAGGCAGTACATGAGCCAGGAGAGGGAAAGATTGAAAATAAGTGAAAAATTAGGGATGAGAGAAGAGGCAATCTGTTCTATAAACTATAAGGCAAGATTCTCAACTGAGAGAATAGGTGCCACAGGAGATCTGAGGAGAGATGAAAGGTTTGGAAGAGTTGCTGCAGAGTGGGATAGTGAGTTGATTAGGAAGGTAGAGTAGGATTGCCTAGCAGCAGTGAGGGCGCAGTTGAAGTTAAGTGATGTAAATCTGTAGTAGACCCAGAAAGAGTGCTTGTGTGATTTTCTCCACCTTTTTGCAGTAGCATGTGTGTAGGACTGAAGGTGATGAATAGTGGAAATGATCCAAGGCTGAAGTTTGGTTGGGCATAACTGGCCTTATGACAAGGGGACTAGGGATTCAAGAGAGCAGGACAGTTTAAAGTTGAATTGGTTCACCAAAGAATCAAGATGGGGAGAAGAGGACAGAGTAACTAGTATAGGGGAGATGGCCTGGGAGAATTGAGGGGTCAATGGACTGGAGGTCATGGTGCTGATGAAAAGTAGGGTTGTGGAAGGCAAGGCAGAGGGAAAGGGGAAAAGCCAATTGATTATGGTTGGATAAAGGGATTTCAGAATTCTTGAACATGGAGGTACATTTGTGGGTGATGGCAAGGTCCAGGATATGCCCATCTTTGTATGTGGCTGAGATGGGGTGGAGGAGTAGCTCCTTTTCTCCCTCTCCTCCCTCTATTCTTCCTTCCTTTCTTTCCTCTCTCTCTCCTTCCTTCCTTCACTTGGACCACACACAATACTTTGCTTTACATTCCTCTAATATACTTAAATATAATACAGAATATTGCATAATAACTGTGTTATTGTCTTTTCTCCCCACTAAACTGTAAATTACAGTCTAGTAACATATTCTGTGCACGGTGTGCTCCTGATCAAACTCTGTCCCTAGTGTCCACAGAACTCTCTTTCCCTATGTCAACCTAGGCTTGAACAAGAACTAATTGTGATTTCCCCCCCCTTTGATTTCCTAATTTTCCTAATCGGATTTTGGTCTGGTTATATTTTCTAAAACTGCTTGGAGATAGGGGGTAAGAGTTCTTCTTGCCATTTCTACACACCAGCTCTGCCTCCTCAATAATCTCCTAATTGCCAAAATCCAGCAGCCTTTTCTCAGGTCTCATTGGTCAATTGAATGAAAATGGAGGAAGTCAGACAACTACGATAACTTATATTATAAATTCATGTTATCCAACTTCAAATGTGCCCTCCCATCAATTGGCAATTCTTTTACTAATCTCTAATTGATTCTCTATCTTATCCTCCAGGGAAGCTACTCTAAACCTTCTCTTCTCTACTCAAGGTCCCCACACTTTCTCCTTCTCATCTACTCTCAACTGAGGACCTCATTTCAGTGTGGCCATTCAACGCAAACTCCTTCTTCTCCCCAACACTTCATCTCACAACTGTTTGACATCATCTCCCACTAGCTCCTCCTTTCCCTTATTCTCTGACAATGAGGTGGCCCTTCTTCATGAACTCTTGAGCCCATCCCCCAACATCTCCAGTAGATTGCAACGTCAATTATCCCCTCCTCCCTGAATCTTTAGCTTCTGTTTATCTATTGGTTCCTTCTCTACAGCACTCAAACATGCCTAAATCTCTTCCACACTTAAATAACCTTCATTAAATTACTCCCTCAAGCTATCATCCTATACCTCTCCTCCCTTTCTCAGGGGAAAAAAAACCCCAAACTTCTATAAATGTCTTTCTATACTCATTCACTCTACTGTTGTTTCCTCTTACTCACTACTCACTGCTTCGCAATCTGGATTCCAACCTTATCTCTCAACCGAAACTTCTCTAGCTAAAGTTATCACCAATCTGTTAGTTGCCAAATCTAATGGTCTCTTCTCAGTCCTTATCCCTCCTGACATCTGCAGTTTTCAACACCATCATCCGCACTATCCTCTGAATGCACTCTCTAATACTGGGGTTTTCCAACACTGTTTTCTCCTAGTTTTTCTTTGCCGGCTTATTCTCAGTCTTCTTTATTACTTTCTCATCCATTTTACATTCTCTAACTGTGGTTTGCCTCAAAGTTTTGTCTTGAGTCCTCTTTTTTAATTCTTTCTAAATTCTCTCTCTTGGTGCTCTCATCAGCTCCCATAGGTTTAATCATCCTCTCTATGCCGAGGACGCAGAGATCTATATATCTAGCGCCAATCTCTTTACTGGGCTTTAAGTTCCCATCAACAATTGCCTACTGTATATTTTATTTTCTTTTACTTTTAAATAATATTTTATTTTTTCAATTACAGGTAAAAACAACTTTTAACATTTATTTTTTAAAATTTTGAGTTCCGAATTCTCTCCTTCACCTCCTTCCCCTCTGTGAGATAGCAAGCAATTTGATATAGATTACACATGTGCAATCACACAAAACACATTTCATATTTGCTATACTATTTATTGTACATTTTAAACTAGATGTCTGAGACATCTCAAATTCAAAATGTCCAAAATAGAACTCATTTTCTTTTCTCTTCAACCAACCTTTCTTCCAAACTTCCATATAGGCACCACAATCTTTTGGGGTGGATAGGTGGCTCAGCAGATAGAGTGGCAGGCCTGGAGTCAGGAAGACCTGAATTCAAATCTGATCTCACATATTCACTAGCTCTATGACTCAGAGTAAATCACTTTACCCTGTTTGCCTCAGTTTCCACATCTGTAAAATGAGCTGGAGAAGGAAATGGCAAACCACGCCAGTATCTTTGCCAAGAAAATCCCAAATGGGGTCATGAAGAGTCAGATATAACTGAACAACAACTACCACCACAATCTTCCAGTCTCTTATGTTTGCAATCTTGGTGTTATTCTTGATATCTTACTTTTTCTCATCCCACATATCCAATCAGTTGCCAAATCTTGCCCTTTCCACCTCATGTACATTTCTTGCGTTTGACTCTTTCACTCACATGGCCACCTCCTTAGTTGATGCCCTCATCATCTTATGCCTAGATTATTGCAATGGCTTCTTAATTAGTCTCCCTCTTAGTTTACTTGATCATCATACATGTCCCACCTCACCATATGTAGGTATATGGCAGGGCTCTGTCATGGGTCTTCTTCTCTATATACTCTATCTCAACAGTTTTAATGGATTTAGGTATCACCTTCAGGCAGCAAACTCTAAAATCAGGATGTAGATGAGGGATGGATATGTAGATTTTGGAGATGTCTGAATACAGATTATAGCTGCTTGGCATCTATATATGGTTGTCCAATCAGCATTTCAAACTCAATATGCCCAAAAGAACCCATAATTTTTTCTCCTATACCTAATGCCTCGTCCTGACTTCTCTATTTCTGTCATGGGCAATACCATTCTTCTAGTCACCAATGTTTGCAATCTGGGAGTCATTCTTTTTTATATAGAATTAATTAATTTATTTTTAGTTTTTAACATTCACTTCCGTAAGATTTTCAGTCATGCTGGGAGTCATTCTTGACTTTTCACAGTCATTTACTGTACCCCACCCTCCACTCGCATCCACTGAGGTGCTATTGATTTCACCTCCTCAACATCTCTCACATCTGTTTCTTTCTTTCTATTCACACAACTACCCAAGCCCAGGGCCTCATCACTTCTCACTTATGCTACAGCAATAGCCTTCTACCTAGTCTCCTTGCATCTAGTCTCCCCTCTCCAGTCCATCCTCCACACAAATTGACCATTCATAAATGCAGGTCTGAACATGTCACTTCTCAAGAAACTCCAGTAACTCTCCACTATCCCTAGCATAAAATAGCAACTCCTCTGGCATTCAGAATCCTTCACAATGGGATGCCAGACTACTTTTCCAGGCTTCCTGGGCATTACACACTCTATTTGCATACTTTGCATACTCTACTTTCCCGTCAACTTCCCGTCTGATTGCTGGTTCCCATGAATGATTCTTTCTCTATCTTGGTGTCTTGTCATAGAGTGTCCCTAATGCCAGGAATGTGCTCTCTCTTCACCTCTGTCTTGTAGGATCTCTAGTTTCCCTTAAGTCTCAGTTCAAGGGCCACCTGCTACACAAAGACTTTCATGATTCCCCTAATTGTTACACTGTTACTCCTTGGTAGAATTCTTCACACACACACACACACACACACACACACACACACACACACACACAC